TTATAATTAATATGTAGGACAGATAAACGTTGCTCCTGTAAAATTTTGATTTTGTGACATACGTACTTATGTCAGATGACAGGTGAACTGTTATTCATGGTGGAGCCGATCTAGAGACAACGCGGGCCAGAAAGTCAAGACACTCTGAAGGCCTCTTTGAGACACACTCAATCGGACTCATTAGGTTCGTATTGCAAATAAGAAGTACTTTGCAATACACGAACTAGTTCTTTGCAAATTCTTTGAAAGAATATAGTTTGCAAACATTTTACAGTGTGTCTGCTAGCAATATCACCTGACCTTTGTTAAAGACAATCTGTCGTGTACGGGCTTTGGTGTAGCAGCTTAACTACAACGTATATGATGTGTCTGAAACAGTGAAAACACTATACAGTATAACTATGTTATGACTGTAAGACCACCAGTTGTAATTTACCAATATCTCCGTATGCCATTTGGCTTGTCCCTATTGCAAACCACACACGGCGCTCCGGCGCTGGTGAAACCACGCAACTCCGCGGAGCCTCCGTCAAAGCACCCACAGCGGTCCGGCGCTGGTGAAACCACGCAACTCAATTTTTGGGTTGCTTTTTCAGACCTATACCGTTGGAAAGAGGATGTTCCCATCTTCCAGAATATATAGTTATCTCAGACTTTTTGAAAAAGATCGATACGTGGTTTCGCCAGCACCTTATAACTTTGCGTGGTTTCGCCAGCGCCGGACCGCTGTGCGTGCTTTGACGGAGGCTCCGTGTAGTTGCGTGCTTTGCAATAGGGACAAGCGATTTGGAAGGTGGAGGGTTCACCGACAGCCCAGCTAACGCCTGTGAGTGGATTGCAAATATAATTAGTATGACTTCAACATAACACATCACACTGACAGGAATGGCTTCAATGCACCCTCAGTAATCAGTTTTTGGATCAAGCAAAATGCTCTTGACCTGAACTTGTACTTGAATAAGATGCTCAGCCTGAGATACTTTTATTTGCATCAATGCCCCTGTTTGCTACAATCAAGTAGTATGGTCCTGCCAGAAATACAATAGTCAAGTACAAGTTCAAGTCAGGAACATTTTGTTTGATCCAAAAACTGACTTCTCTGAGTGTAAGTGTCGACACTAGGCTCCTTAAACCTACTCCAGGTGCCCCCACACTGAACGGATTTGGCGTGTCCGCGTCCGCTCATGTCCGCTCGGACACGTGTCCGTCCGTCGCCCTTGACTTGCCACTGTAAACCGGGCGAGCCGGATATCTGTCTGGGGATATCCGGGCGGACATAAGCGGACACAGCGGACGTGGACACGCCAGAGTGGTCCATTGTTGGGGCACCGTTACACTACCAGCAGATATAGGACGTTGACGTTCATCAATGTTCACAACATTGTGTTTCATAACTGGGGTTGGAAACGCTTCATTAATCGCCACAGCTGGCTCCCTGCTGGTGTCAAATAATTCATAATTGATTAAAAATGAAGACAGGTTCAAGTTAAAGAAATGCTTCTACAGCATCGGGTTTCCCTTTGTGTTTCACACTTGGAAGTAAAAGTATTTTTTTCTATGAATGAAACCTTTCTGTCTTGAAGGGCCCCTCATGGCTCGTGACTCGAACACCTACAAGCCCCACATAAAACAATCAGAAGGTAAGGGTAGAGTTGCTGCCTGAATTGAATTCAGTCGCAAAGTATATGTTTCAGTGGTGAGTTGTTGATTAACGCTCCAAAATGAGATATTTACCTCTGAAGATTAGTTCTACGCACTGTGACTGAGGTGTCATACACTTACAACGACGAGTAACGAAATTTTATACACCGGTAAGGGACCGGCAACACAAACACGACTCGCGAGCAGCAGCTGACCCCGGACCAGATTACTCACAATCAAATATACGCCTAAACAAGGAATCAAGTGCAAAACGGTGTCATGTGTTTGGATTCAGCTTGATAAAACCTAGTTTTCAGTCCTTTTCGTTTCTTGAATTTCATCCGTTTTTTAGGGAAATCTAGAAATATAGCCTGCCGTGGTGGAGCGGAAGTGGTGGGGGGTGCGGCGTTGCCGGAACGTCTGAACTTGCCCAGCTATTTAGTGAAAATCAGACAGGAGCTTTGCAGGGGAAGGCGGTTGCCAGGCCATTTGAAACACTGACGGTGTTGTTCTTGGTTTTTACCTCTGTTCTTTCTCCTTGTTTGACAAGCATGGTACGTAGTTGGGATCTTTATAAAGTTGCGCACTGGATCTTCTTACGTCAGCAGCAAGAGACCGAAGCAGGGATGTAGTTCCACACAGCATCAAATAGTCAAAAAAACTCACCAACATACTGGGAAACTACAATCAAAATACTGTGTCCGCATTTACAAAAAATTTTGGTCTTGATCAAAAGCGTAAGTCGTTTATTGCTTATTTTCGATTCTTGTGATGTAACAGTGTTTTCGAGGCGCCATTTTGGATAAAACTCCTGCAAACATTGTCTAAGTTTTTCTTTAACGTTTTCATAACCCTACCTTGCCTGTTATTCTGGCCTGCCATAAGAGGTGGTTTTAAAAACCTCAATTTTGGGCGTATTTTTAGCCCGCCCTTCTGCTTTGGAAAAGCTATCCAGCGGGCTTCTGCAAACGACCTCGTGTGTGTCTGTGTGTCTGTATGTTCCACTAGAAGGAGATGTGCTAGAGACTTGAAATTTTCAGGGTATCTTAAGGTCCACTCCTAGAGAAAGAAACGCCTACGGCAAATCCTGGCAACCACCCCTAAGGGTGTGAATGGGTGTCTCCAAGGTTCAAAAATTCTCCGAAAAAGGTTTTTTTTAATGTTCTCCTAAGGGGTTACTCGTGTAAATAGAGTCCTCTGATCGAAAATTTCGTCCGTTTTGCTGTATCTTTAACCGTTTAGGCACTAAAGGGTCTTTTTAGCGAAAATAAGCTAAAAATTGCCATAGAGAACAATAAGTTGTAGAAAAAGGCCTTAAAACCGCAAAATAGGAAAGAAAGTCTCCCCCCACCCCCGAAACACGTTTTTATAGCAGAAGGGTGGGCTGTAGTCGCGGTGCTTCACCGTTACATCCCTTTCTCGTGTCTATGGGGCAAACTCAATGACGACGGGTTTAAGCGGGCCGAAGGCCCGCTACATCATTCGATCATGTTCTTCAGCAAATCGCGTGACGGAAAATGGTCAGGCCGCAGGCCCTACCATCGCCGCCGGCAGGCCAAGCAGGCCCGGCCCGGAAGGGCGGCCCTGCTTTTTCCCTTGACTAAACACGCAGTTTTACGGTCCTCTGGGAGAAAATTTTGAGGATAAGGATCTATCTCAGCCGGTTTGTATGATATGAATTGTTTTTATATTGCTGTAAATAAGTATCCTTTTCCCTTCCATTAATAATTCGTAGCTGGAAAACCGGATGAGGTAGAGCCTTATCCTTAAAATTTTCATCCAGAGAACCGTAAAATTACGTGTTTAGTCAAGAAAAAAGTACGCCCAAAATTGAGTTTTTTTTAAACTACCTTTTATGGCATGCCAGAATTACAGGCAAGGTAGGGTTCTGAAAACGTTAAAGAAA